ATAATCTAAATTAATGTACTTTGTGAACTTTGAGTTTGATACCTGGCCTTGTATCATTCTTGTGAGCTCTTCAGTTTTTTATGTTAATTTCAATTTTACTTTTAATTTTAATTTTCATATTTTAACACTTTTGAAAATATGCGTGAATGATCCTTGATGTGATTAAAAAAGTAAATAAAGATGGAAGTGAATTTTTTTTTTAAATTCAAAAATATAAAATAATCTGAATTAATGTACTTTGTGAACTTTGAGTTTGATACCTGGCATTGTATCATTCTTGTGAGCTATTCAGTTCTGTTATGTTAATTTCAATTTTACTTTTACTTTTCATATTTTTACACTTTTTACAAGGTATATAAATGTTCCTTGATGTGAGTAAAAGAATAAAGATGGAAGTGTTTAAAATATATAAAAAATTTCCAATATATCATAATATGAAATATTAACCCAATCTTCAGATTGCCACACAATTTTATTATACAAACGTTCACATACATTTTGACCCGCGCGCTCATATGACCTTATGAAGTTGCGAGCGCCGTAAAACCTTATACTAAACAAACAAAACAATACATTTTGAAAAGTGTTAAAATCTGAAAATTAAAATTCAGCTTTAAATGTCAATTTTAGTTTCAATTTTAATTTTCACATTTTTATACTTTTGAAAATATATGTGAATGTTTCTTGATGCGATTAAGAAAGTAAATAAAGATGGTGGGAATTTTAAAAAAGAAAATATTTCAAAAATATAAAATAATCTAAATATACTTTGTGAACTTTGAGTTTGCTACCAGTTATACCGTTTTGTATCATTCTTGTGAGCTCTTCCGTTTTTTATGTTAATTTCAATTTTACTTTAATTCAAATTTTCATATTTTTACACTTTTGAAAATATATGTGAATGTTCCTTGATGTGAGTAAAAGACAAAAGAAGGAAGTGTATTTTAAAAATTTAAAATATTAACGCAATCTTCTGATTTCTGCGCAATTATACCATCGTTAAAACGCGCAGTGCAATCTTAAGATGGCTGCGCAATTATACCATCCTTAAAATACGCAGGGCAGATCGGCAAATTGCACGCTTGAGACTTGAGTTTGATACCCAAGTGGGGAGAAATTTTCCTCGAGCATCTACGTCTTTCTGTTGGGATGTTGTATCCCCTCAGCCTGGGTTGGCCCGGACAGACAAAGCTGGCAGGCCGCCTCTTAAATCAAAATTACAAGTTATGGACCATGTGTTCCTGAGATGTCCCGCCAGCTATCGTGCCAGAACCCATCTGCTGGGACATTTCAGTAACCCATTTTCAGCACTTTTTATGGACCCCCGGGCAAGGTTGAGTTCCTGCGTGCTGTCGGCATCGCTGACCGTTTATGAAGCCACAGCGCCAGAAGAGAGAGAGAGAGAGAAATTACCAGTTCAGTTTGGTAACAGTTTTCCGCAGTTTGCAGCTGCACAAGATCATTGAGGTCACCGAGCAGCCAGGTCTCAAGGAGGTTATTTTCTCGTTAGTTCACAGCACGGCTAGCTTTAACTTGTACAGCAAAGTCTGAACCGAAAATACTAAATCATAATAATATATTATCTAAATTTTTCCGATGAGTAAAAGAAAAGAACAAAAAACAAATGGATATTAGATCTAGATCTAGGCCTATGGAAAAAAAAAAAGAAATTGTCAGTGCTCTATCTTGGATGACCAATTCAACTCTCCTAGATCTACATGCATTAAAAAATAAAATAAACGAAACGACGTAAAATAAAGTAAAATTTCAGAGATGAGAAACAGAAAAGCACATTATATATTTTTTTTACTGCGGTTTATTGGATTATAATACATGAATAATTATTTCATATATATCTGTGTAAAAAGAACACTCTGATGCAATCTACCATCTACATAGTATTATAATATAATATATATACAACATAAAATGTCTTTCTATTTCTCTGAAGAAGCGTGAAGTGTGCCTATGAGCTTACACTGGGCAAGTGGGGGTCGAGTTTGAACAAAGACATTTGGAGTTTGAGACAAGACTTGCACACTCGGCACAAAACTGACATGCTCATTGGGGGGAAAAGAACATCAACCAAGTATATAGACATATATAATGAGACGGTAAATATTTTGATTTAGATGCAAAGTCAGTTGACCTTTGGCCTAATTTCTGAACCATGAGAGTCGAGGGGGGGGAGGGGGGGGGTTCTGCTCCTGTCCTGGGAAGTAGAATGTGTCAAGGTGTGGTGGAATCAGGCGTCAATTTTTGGGCATACGGAGTTATTTGGTATCATCTTAGAGCCTGTTCATTTGCCTTTCTTTTGGTGAAAAATATACCCATCTATCTTGAATAGAAGTCGAGATATTTGCGATCGCAAGAAGTCAGAGTCGCCTGCTTTTAAAGGTCAAATTAGAGAGAAAATGGCTGCCAAAGTTTGGTAACTTCCATAGCCTGAGAGTTCTTGGAAACTGAAAATTTACAATTGTTTTTTGTTGTTGCCTTTAATCAATGTTTTTCAGCAAAAACCAAACAAAAATGTGTTTTTAATTGGATATAAAAAAAGTTGTTGAGGAAGAAAAAAGAAAATTTAATACACATCGGCCAAAAAAACAAACTATTGCCGATTTCATTGATGTAATTATTTTGACGAACGCCTGAGTTCACCACAATGCTTCACAAATAAAAAGAGAACAAGTTAAGACAACGTGTGCCCGAGACGTTCTTTTTTAACTGGATCTTTTAAAATGCGGCTACTTCACCCGACCCAACGACACAAGTTTCAGCAAAATAGAAAAGGTTTTAAGCTACAAGCCCAAGAGTGCATAGTAGGCCCTACAGCTTGTTCACTTTCGTCTGACAGCGTTGAAAGAATTCTAGCTCATTGAGGAATTTACCAATGTCCACGAAACTTTGCAAGGCACTTCTGCAGGCCAGCGACCAAACAAAAAATATTTTTAAAAATAATTTTGTCCCAGCAATAAAAATGTTTTTCTCTTTGGGCCCTATGTTAAAAACTGCTCTGTGGATGCACACACAGGATGACTAAAGTAAATGACTTACAGAAACCTAGCCTACAAATTGCTCATTTTGAGACAGCGACATCGCCCTGCCCCAACATTTCAGTGTAAGCTTGTAGATTTCATCCCCTAGCTGTCTAGACGTCTCCACGTGCTCCACGCGAGTGTAGAAAATTACTCACCCCGTCTCTTGATTGAATCGTGTTTCTTTTACTCGTACTTTAAAGCGTGGTGTTGAGGAAAAATATGTCAACTTTTAAATGCTGTAGGTGTATTCTGTAAATCCCCTATTATTATTTTTTTTACCAGCTTTAGGCTTACATTAAAGAAAACGTGTCGGAACCTTAGTCTGCAGTGACCTTTATGAAGGGCCTTTCAGATTCTGTTGATTGCTTAACTTTGAGACCCGCATGCAAAGATCCAGAAAGATTAAACAGAGCGATTTGTTTTTTTCATCCCGTTTTAACCGCGGTCAGACGAAAGTGAACGAGCTGTAGAACTAGTAGTAGACCATTTTCGTAGGGGGGCTGCCTAGTTTGTCACAGGCCCAGTTTGTCACAGGCCCAGTTTGTCATAGGCACAGTTTGTCAAAATTTCATTCAAGTGTTTGAGTATTGATGACAGTCATAATTACAACACTTTAACACTGTAGTTGTAACTTAAGTTTTTTATTTTCCACCTTCAAATTGGCGGTGTAGAGATAGTCCCTCTAAAATGTCAATTCAGCTTGTGTTGTTCAATAATTTCTTCCTTTTCATATGAAAATCAAAGCAAATTACTCTGTAAAATTTCAACAATGAATGTTCTTTCATTAAAAATGATTGAAAAATAAAATTCAATTCATCCAACCAATCAATCATTCATTTACTCTTTTTGAGAGTGTCAGTGATAACTTCCATTATGCAGGGCATAGTCGAGGCCTGGGACAAACTCTACAATTGTCGACTAAATAGGTCAACAAGAATGAGACCGAATGTCCCATAGAGGTCTACACGTCTGGAACTAAATAATTACATGAAATGATTTATAGATAAAATAATTATCTGTATAATTACATGAAATGATGTTAAATGATCTGTAAAATTATATCATGTGGCATAAAGAATGGCAAGACACAGATCATGACATACCCAAAGATATCTGCTGACTGTATGAGACACATATCATGACACACTCAATGATATTTGCTGACTGTATGAGACACATATCATGACACACTCAAAGATATTTGCTGACTATACACATATCATGACACACACAAAGATATTTGCTGACTGGTTAAGACACAACTCATGACACACTCAAAGATATCTGCTGGGTGTCACAGAACGACAAGACACATGAGGCTTATTGACACCTGCTCATTGACACCTGCCACATACACACGTAGTACACACACCATGACATCATATGGCATACGTCATATGGTCACTTTTAAGCACAACGGGGCGATCCCGAAAAATGCTGTTTTGAGAAAATCGAAGGTAAAGTTTTTGCCCCTTGTTCAGTTTCTTTAAAAGACAAGGAGAGTTTTCTCTATAACCAAACAAATATACACACACCAATGAAACCAAACTTCTCCTATAGCTAGGGTAACGCCCACTTTTGATGTAGGTCAAGATTTCTGGAAACCCCCAAAATCTAGGTTAGCCCGCTTGTCCTTAAAAGCGACCATACAGCATCAGAATAAGCGCGGAATGTCACTGAGGATCATCACAAAAAGGCACAAATCACATTTATGGCAATCTGAAAAGTGTAATTTAGTGTATGGGAACAAATATATACATACATAAATAAGAAAATATATCCAGAGGACAATTTTATATATAAACGGTATATATATATAAGTAGATATAAAAAATAATTATTTATAAAATTCGTCTCGCAACGTCTAATGTTCTGTTGGAATGTGACTTGAGAGAGGCAAACGCCTTAAAAAATGTGTCGGTGGGTGGTTGGCGGGTGCTCTGCTGTGGTTTGCTCCTCTTCTTTCCTATCAAACATCTATCGTCCTTATCTCTCCTCCTTCTTTCCTATCAAACATCTATCGCCCTCATCTCTCCTCCCTCTTCTCTTTGTATTTCACTCTCTAGTATCACTTCTCACCTCCTTCTGTACATCTTTGACCTACCGGTATATAAATAGAACATACGTTGCAGGTGCCATCTATTTTCTTCTTAATTAAACCAAAATCTGCCAACAGAGCACATGCCTCTCCTGACCTGCCTGACACATGAAAATAAAGTCTGTCTTTTGATTCTGCCCAACACTAGAAGCTCAAAACTTCTGTCTGTCTGTCTGTCTGTCTGTCTGTCTGTCTGTCTGTCTGTGTGCCTGTGTGTCTGTCTGTCTGTCTGTCTGTGTGTCTGTCAGTCTGTCTGTCTGTGTGTCTGTCTGTGTGTGCTCCGGCCTCTCCTGTAGTTAGGCTCTGTAAATAGCAGGGTCGCTGCTTTCGTCTGAAATAGAAGATGGAAAATATCCGCGTGAGTTCATTGGGTACGGTACACAGCAGAGACACTCTAAGATATTGAATAAGG